CATTTGTTCTGCCTGAGGTTTCACACTTTTCTGGTCTAGGTTTTGTAAGGATGTGTATGTCAAGGAACTTTGCAGCCCAATGTGCTCTCAGTGTCTCCAGGTGCCTTGCTTTAGAAACGTGGGGCTGGGATCACGCTGCCGGGAAAGAGAGGAGCAGGAAAACATTTTTTTCCTGAGTTGGAAGACTACACAAGACACTGAAGTATATTTTTCCCAAGATGGATCACTCGGGATAGTCTGCCCGTACAGGTGGTCACTCAAGTTCGGAGTTGGGATGTGAGGAAGCGGATCTAGAGTTAAAACGCTTCACACAGGAGCTTGACACCTGAGGCCTTCCAGCTGGGTTTTCTCACACTGAGGCCTTTTCACACTGAGGCCTTCTCTCACTGAGGCCTTCTCACACTGAGGCCTTCTCACACTGAGGCCTGCTGACTTACAGGTACTGGCGCCTATATTGAACTGCATCCACTTAACTTTTCAGAGCTTGACTTACACTTTTGTCATTAAGTCTACCTAGTTAATATTTCTGACCGAGAGAGAGAGAGAGAGAGACTGAAGGAGAGCAGAACAGGTAATAATAATATTGTAATAAACATTTATTCATACCTCACCACCATCTCCCCAATGGGGACTCGGAGTGGCCTAGATGAGGCCAAATTACAGCACCATAAAACTGAAAACACAACCTGAAAATGCAGACAGTAAACAATAACAGAAGCCCAACCCAACAGGGAGGGAGGGAGGGCCAGGCTTGTAGATTGGGTTGGGTAGTCATTGGATGAATTATTTGAATGCGATGTTCCTGCTTCTTGGCAGAATGGGGTTGGACTGGATGGCCCATGAGGTCTCTTCCAACTCATAGATTCTATGATTCTATGATGAGGAGGTCTTCCATAGCTAAGGAGGCTGGTTTGTGGTCAGAGGATGGTCTTGGTGATCGAGGGGGGAGAGCGGTGTCAGTTCACTTTGAGGTACCTCCTGGGGAAGGCGCCTTCCCTCCTCCTCCTCCTCCTCTGGGGAGTATTGGGGGGTGGGGGTGGTCCCTGCCTCCTCTTTCCCTCCCTCCCTCTCCCCTCCAAACAGACTTCCTCTTCTCCTGCTTCCGAGGGAGGCGGGGCTCGGATTTCCTGCCCTCAGGAGTATGGCCTTGGGACCTTTGCCCTTTCTATGGGCTTCCCTTTCCTGCCACACTCACAGGCCTTCCCCTTCCTTCCTGGCTGAACAGGGTATTCCTGGTCTTCTTCTTCATGGAGATAAACAGCTTTGCTCTCACAGAGGCTCCTCTCACACCAAACTGACACAGGAGCTTCACACAGGAGCTTCACACCTGAGGCCTTCAACCTGGGGCTTCTCTCACACTGAGGCCTTCTCACATGGCTTTCTCACACGGTGGCCTTCTCACACGCCTGCCTTCTCACACGGCAGCTTTCTCACACTGAGGCCTGCTGAGCTTTAGGCGGACCTGCTTCTATTGAACTGCACCCATTTCACCTTTTCAGAGCTTGACTTGCATTTTTGTCATTAAGTCTGC